CCCAACACATCTGGATTGACCTGTTTGAGCAATCTGGATTTACATTTATGTTTTGCTACAATTTATTGGTAATATTTCCTGTCTCTGTCATTTCTCATTTTGCAGTTTATCCAGTGGCATATCAACTAATTGCTCATTTAAGCAAATGCAATGCTAAACACAGGAATGCTGCTTCTAAATAAAGATGCTGAGCATGAAGCCATTTTCCTATTAGTACTTTATGAAAATCAGGTGTCTCAGAAATGTTAAATAAAAGAAGCAGTTTCAGGATAGGCAGGATTTCCTTATGACCAGTCTGAGGTAGCAATGGTCCTGAGCAATCAATTTCCTTTTTCTATCCTAATTTGCCCTTATACATCATATTCAGGATTTTATCTGGACAGGGGCTGGTTGGCTCAGTGGATAAACCTCTGCCTTTTCACCTCTGGGATCATGGTTCAAGTCATACCCTGATGAAATGCACTTGATCGTCCTAATCTAGTTCCTAGTGGACAGTATTCCCATTATCTCTAAAAGGGTCAGAGCCAAGGCCATTGGGAAGAGTGCATTGTGCTATATCTTGTCTGTTGATTAATACATTTTCAGTGACGCCAGATCCTTAATCTTCATAAGCATACATATTCTCACAAAAATCTTAATAGAGATCCCTTCCAGGCTATATATTTCTGCTCAATTTGTGTATCATTTCAGGATTTCCTGGGAATACACACAATACCCCCCCAAATATATCACTTAAAATTTAAAAGTATGTTTGCTTGTACTGTTTGCAATAACATCTCTAAGTTAACTAACATGATAACACATCACTTTAAATCACTACTACTTCAGAGGGAAAACAAGACCTTTAACTCAATCTGTAGTTAGAGCACATTATAATTTTCAATTAATATAATTTTCTTCTCAGACCATATCAGTTGAGGCTGAACATACACAGAATAAAGGGAATTTATTCTGTGAAGGGAAACTGAGACAGAACATACTCTCCATAAGAGTTCACTGTTTGTCCTCTGCACCAAGAGAGCTGCTGCACAATTAAAGTAGGAAATAGAATCACTTCCATTCCATGAAAATCCAGGCTTGGAATCACTGGGCTTTTCAGCATGACACTCTGGGCTCTGGTTTGGAATGAACACTGGTACACCACCAGGGCGCTCTGAGCCCCCTGGTGATCCTGGAGCCCTTGGGCCAATCCTTCTGCCCCAGCAGCCCAAGCCACAGAGGGACACGGGCTCTGTGCCTCTGTGGGAGATGGGCCTCTGGGGCTGGGGCAGCAGGACCCAGGACCACCAGAGCTTCACTACTAGTCACCAGCTTCCACAAAGATCAACAGAAAAGATCCACTCTTAAGACAACTAATTCACTGATCACTTTTACTACACAGTTGTGGTCCAAATCCTAAGGACAGTGCATTAGCTTCTACCTGGATTGATTCTTTAATACAGATCATAAGAAAGACAGGAATGTAGGTACCATTCCTCACTTCTAATTGCAGTTAAAGATTATAAAATTATTCCTGATGATTAAATCGTTCCTCTGTAGTCATTACAGGCTTTTACATTCTTACTACATATTTATTTAATTGACTACTGAAGAAACACAATTTAGTTTGTGGTTCTTTGGTATAAGTCAATAGCCTGATTATATTTTTTTCATTACATAATTACTCTTGGCTTGCTTTTCTTTTGATTGTTTCGAAATTAACGGGGAACTCCTTTTGACAAAAAACTCACTTATAGCCTGATCTATCACAAACAATTAAAGCATCTTCAAATATCTGGTGAAAGTGTAGCTTTATTGAAGAATTCCCTGCCCCTCTTCTGGAAGCACCGGCATGGCAGATTTTTATCAGTTAAGGGCTGGAAATCCAAAGCTACAGCTGTGTTTTGTGTGAGTGATGTGCTGGTGAGCCAGTGTGATCTCAGCAGCATGGGCAGCACCGCAGACCCCACAGGAAATCCATGCAGGGCTCCAGGGCACTCTCTGCACCTGCTGGCAGAAGAGGAGCATGACCCCAGAGCAGCGATGGGGGCACCTGGTGTGGCTCCTGGTCAGGGGCTGCTGCCTCGGGGAAGGTGTGAGAACCCTCGTTTGCCCACCACTCCAAAATGAGAAGCCTCATTTGTGCTTTTCCACCCTTCGTGGACAAGCCCCCAGAGCAGGATGACACCATGGAACCAACGAGCACAGCCTGGCCGTGTCCTACCATCCAGGTCAGAAACGCTGAAAAGCAAAAACCTAACTGGGACCTGATGCCAAAATGGAACTTTGCATGCTGCACTTCCTCCTGCCCACGTCTCTCAGAGCTCCTCTGCAACACCCTCCTCACACACCCACACGGGACAGCTCTGTGTGGTTATGGACTCACACCCTGGTCTGTTGGATGGACCACAGCTCCAACATACAATTCAGAACATAGGAATTAAATAATAAAACAGTTTTGCATTATTGCAACAGCTGTTTTCAAATAGGCTTTATCTTTTTTCCTATCACCACAGAACTGGGTAAATCTGGGTGTTCCTTTCTGAAATACAGCGATACAGAACAATCATTGCACTCTGGGGTAATCAATACAGATAATTGCCAAGCTGACTTTGGAATAAGCTACAGCTAAGTCTGAATGAGCTACAGATTAGTTTGGGAAAATTAGGCCCGACAGATAACAGCATGCATTTCAAACTGAATTTCTGTTAAATAGGTGATTTGTACCTATATCAGATTTTTCATTTAAAAAAATCATTTTTATAAATATATATTATGATTCTTTTTGTTGATTACAACATAAAAAGGAAAGAATAACTGTGTATGGACAATGAAAAAGTAGCCTGTTGATAATAAATATTTGTCAGGTCTTGTCACATCCGTATACATTCCAATGTTACTGAAGAGACACGGCACTGATAAAAAAATACCCTCTGAAAAATCAATGGATTTTGAGCCCAAGCAGTTGCTAAACACACAGAAAACATCTTTATCCAACAGCCCCAGTGCTGTGAAAATTCCCAAGCCTTGCATTGGTACAGCTAAGGAAAATTTAATCTTCCCAAATACTCATCAGGGCACTCCATCCTGCAGACCTGACAGCCCCACTTATAATTAATTATACAATTTCGATGGGAATATCGACTGCACAAAGCTATAAATCATAGAAAAAGTCAATAGGCATGGACACATTCAATCATGTCCCGACCAATGATTACTACTCTTAAAATACAATAATTATTTTCAGGAGCCAGCTTGAATTAAATTTCTGTCAGGCCGGTACAAGACCGGCGGTTGATGAAGGATGCGATGGATTTTTTGGGTTGAATTCGGCACAGAGACATTTATCGTTTTAGATAGGTAGTTTGTTTTTAGTGATCATGGTGCTGCGTGTTTAACTAGACCATGAAGATTAGATTATCTCCAATGGCTCATTATATCGTTTATCTCTTTCTTCCATGTTTGATCTGGAAGATTTCCCACTTCTTGATGCATGAAAGAAATGACTACTGATTTTGAAATGGAATGTGTTTAAGTGGGATTCTGCCTGTACCTTCACACCCCACAGCCCTGTATGCAAATCAAGCAGCAGCCATCCAAAATACCACTAGGACAAGGCAAACAAGCACCAAGAACAGCTTTACACAGTTTCAAGAATGAACTGGGGGAAAACACAAATGACAAATATTTGAGTTGTTTAAAAAAAGAAAAGGAAAAGTAGTAATTATACACATAGAGGAAAATTTTGAGACAGGAATGTGATTAATATGGGAAAAGGAATTGGGAGGAGACATTGCTTTGAATTAAATGTCCCCAAAACTGCAAAACATCAGTGAAATAAACATTAGGCATTTCCTGAGGATGCATTCACCTTGTAAACTGAAACCAAAGAACCCCAAACTGATCTGACAGTAACTGCATTTGAAAGTACCTCTCATAGTGAGCACACAGGCCACATGAACCACGCTGTGGGACAGCAGCAAAGACTAGAAGGGGAATCAGATCTTCATCCCTCACGGGTCTTACTCAAACTTTTCTGACTTCAACAAATGAGTGAAATCTCAGATTCTCACATGGAATCAATCTCCCAGGTGAAGCCAACTTAAAATCAGAGAGGGCACCAGGAAGCTGCCCTCCACATCCTAGAGCCCTGCAGACAGCCTCCAACAGCCTGGCTCTCTGTGAGCAGTGAGAGAATGAGCTGTAGGCAGGGGAGAAGAGGAGAGAGGTGGAGAGCCATGGATCCTGTGCACAGCCCATCCCCGGGCACCAAGCAGCAATGTGCCCTGTGAGTGCAGCTAAACTGGGAGGTGGGGACGAGGGCCCTCTCTGTGTTCCCTTGGATACGTAACTCCTAGGAGCCCTGGATGAAATGGAGAAAGCGGAAAGCAGTGATACACAGCTTTTTCAAAATGAAGTGGCTACCATTTGAAATAAAATCACATTAAAGAAAATACGATGCCCCTGTCCACAGAAAAATTCGAGTCCTTATTACAAATCAGAGTGCTAGTGTCCCCTGTCTGCTTAATCCTCTTGGGAAGCCCTGCATGCTTGTCCAAATAGTGACAGTCTGCTGCAGAGCTTGAGATTGCTGTTCTACTTACCCTTGTGTTTCTAGTATATTTTTCTACACTTAGAAGACCTAGGTATTTTCAGAAGGGCTTTGCATTTAAGGGCTTTCCTAAGTTACTGTGTGATGCACAATGAGGAGCTAGGAAGGAAAACAGGATGCTTGAAGAAATGCAGGCTAGAGGACAGCCAAGAAAAGTGAATTGTTGTGTACATTTAATTTACAATATATCTATATAAAAAAGAAGGTAAACATGCCAAAGTTAAGAATCTGTACACAAAATAACTGGCTAAGTGGTGAGGAAAGCTGGAGCAGTTATTGTGTTGGCTGAATTATCTCTTCTCATTCTGCAGACAGGAGGGGTGATAAGGATAAAGGGCTGGTTAGAGAAATGCAATTTGAATGTGAGTTCCCAACTTACTCTTTTGAAAGGGTTTAGCAATGAACTTACCGCAGTGCCATTGTTGTCTCTAAATACATCTTGATTAAAATAGTCAAAGAGCTTCTTTTCTAATTGCAGCATAACCTAAATAAAAAAATAGGGAGAAAGGTCAGCAAAGCTCTTGGGCTCAGCAACTCAACACCCAGCTGCTGGCAGTGACCCTTTCAGAGACAGCAGCCCTTTAAAACCACACATTTCCACATGTCCAAAGCCCCTTGTCCGCTTGCCCATTTGCTCGGCCGGCAATCACTTAAACAGATCCAATTAACTGAGCATTAGGTGTGACAATCTATATCCTCCCCTCCCTTAACATTATCAGTTTGGAACAACTAAATTCATGCTTTGTAGGAAAGAAAGTGAACATTCAACACTGTTTCTATTTACATAGGGGTGCCAAGGGCATTAAGTTGTTTACCTTTCGGTCATTATCAGATTCACGAAATATTAGCTTGACTACTTCATTTGTGTCAGCTGCCCGGATGGTCTGCATTGTGGCCTTTGCACATAGTGTCTAAGAAAAACATAAGGGGAGAAACGGAAACAAGCTTATATGCAACAGAAGACCAGATTTAACTGAGCATTATCAATAGATGTATCTTCAATGCCCCTCATCAATTATAATTTGCTGTAGGTCAAAATACAAAGCACTGCAAATTTAAGTAACTTCCACTTATGATGGACTTGAAACAATAAACTGACTTATCACTGGAAGAGAAACAGGTAATAATAAGAAAATATCAATCAGGAAAGGCAAATAGTAACTCAGCTTGTACCATGTAGACAGGTTCTTTCACAGGTAACACTGTGTGCTGTATCACACATTACTTGCAAACATCCTCCAAACCACTGCTTACAGATAATGACCAAGTTTTGTGCTGGTTCTTAACAGCTGATAACTACATTGACACTACCGTTCTGTAAGTTAACCCTTGTTTGCAAAAACATCTGCCTGTAAATTCATGTTACAAGTACACTTTTGCAAGTCTGAGAAATGCTTACACAATCTGACAGCAATTTTCACAGTTTATTTTGCATAGCAAATTCCCTCTTTTAAATAAGAGACATAACGTCCCTAGATATTCTGAGGACTGGGTGCCTAAAACATATTATGAACCAACATTTTATCAGGCACAGATGAACACAGATGAACAACCTTATATCAGGCACAGTATGAATTTCCACGAAAGTGCTGGGCCTTGATCCATTGGCCACTGGGGTCCAGTTCCACAGGTAATGGGGAATAACATGAAATGGGCCGCTCAAAGGTTCCACCGCATGGCAACAGGTAAAAATCTAGAGTTTAGCAAAGCAGTTCGCGAAGCTTTAAGTATGTTAAGTGCTTTGAAATGGAGGTATGTCCATCTTAACTGGGCACATTTCACTAAGTGCTCTGCAGCCTCCCTGCCTGGGCAAGGCTGCTGGGTGCTGTGCAGAGCTACCCGTGCCCCTCTGCCTGGCTGCTGGGAACCACAAGGAAAAAGTCAGAAAGTGGAATCGAGGAAATTGTTCAAACTGGGCATTGTTCAAAGACACAGATGTGTCCCCACACCTGGGAGGCAACTCGGCACCCATGGCTGCTGCTGAGGCACACGCTGCTGACAGGATCTGTGCACAGCCCTGGATATGGATACTGACAAAGACCGTCCTTCTGAATGGAACCTTATTTTGCTAGAGGCTCTTAAGAAAAGTGCTTTCTGTTGAAGAAAGTAACTGAGTCAAGGAGAGGTAATGAGATGACTTCCCTGCTCTGCTCACCCCATTCCTTTTCATAATAACGAGACAAAAGGCTTTCAACTTTTCAGAACGTTAATTTGTAAAATAAATATGTTCTGTGGTATAGACTTTCATCCTACTACGTGCTTCTATCTCTCACAGACAGAAGTACTTATATTTGGAGTCATTATCAGAGATGCAGTGTCTACCTGACAAAACACCATGAACTACAGCTCACTTCTCCTTTCCCCATAGTCACCTTCTCCTGAAGGCAGGAATTCATGCTAACCATGTATTTAAACAAAAATCCATCTGCTTCCAAATAATTAAGATTTCAGCTGAGGATCTCCAGGCCAAAATGGGAACAATCTGCCAATGGACATTTTGCTCCCATGTGGTAAAAATTTGATCCTTGATAAAGGCCCTTGCCTACTGGCACAGTACAAATAAAAAGCAGCAAGTTGAGCAGTTTCATTCTTAACAAGTAATTTGAATGGGATTTGGTAAAAACCCACAAATCTGTTATTTTTCTTACAAGTTTGTGAGTGAAACAGATGTTGATTCCCCATCTCACTGAAAAAGAGATGTCCATTTCTGACAAACTTTTCCTGTTTCCTCCGTCCCCAAAAGCAGCGCCAGGCCCATCTGACTCTGGGTTTGCCCTGGAACACTGGGCACACTCGCGGCACCAGAACAGCTGCAGTGTGTGCAGTCACAGGTTTCCCTGGCAGAAGGAGCACTGGCCCCACAGGCACAGGCACGGGCTGCTCTGCGAGTACTTCATCTGCTCTGCAGGACTTCAAGGTGATTTTCTGAAGCCTTGGGAGAAGAGCAGTAACACGCTGGTTAAACGCCACCCGGCCTGGCAGGAGGAGTGGCATGCTGGACCCTTGTGGGAGCTGCGCCGTCAGGACCTGTTACTTTTCATTTTGAGCACAGCCCTCCTACCTGCTCCCTCGCACCCGAGGCAGCCGGACGATCCCTTTGTCTGCTCAGACATGCCGCGGCCGTTTTGCCATCTGTGTCCGTAGGAGCAGTGAGGTAATCCAGCAGCGAGCCATTCCCAACCTCGCTCCCTCCGCGCGGGTGATTGAAATTCAGAGCACAGATCAGATAATCGGGTCAAGCCCAAAAAAAGAGGCTTTGGGCTCATGTGTCACAAATCAGTCTGGTCCCTTCAAACAGCACACCAGATTAGAACAAGCACCCGAACAAACCAGAGCGGAAAACCCGCAGCTCTCTAAAGCTGGTTTCAAAAGCTCTAACAAATCGCTCCATCTTTCACTCATTTAAACTTTCCAAATGAGGGTCAATACGGTCCCCGAGCATCCAAATGCTAATGCGCTTAAGTGCGCTTAAGCAGCTTTCCAGAGTGAATGGGCCAAAGAAGGGCTCGAAAAGACACGGCAGAGTTACTGTCACTGTCAAAAAGTCATTGTAGCCACCCCCAGAGTGGTTGCAATTCAACAAATTCATGATTTCTGTCTCTTAAAGGCATCTGCTTGAGAACATTTTTTTCCCTGAGCTGCTTTATCTCACAACGTCAGGCCGGCTCCAAAAGAAAAACCCTGCGATCGACTCTTGAGAACCAATACAGAGAAAGGACCCACATACCTTATTGCTTTCAAATTTCACACACACAAAAAGTTACCTTATTCACAGACAAAAGTGATTGGGCAAAGGTTCATTTCTTATACAAGCTGGAGGCACTCCTTTTTTCCTCCTCCTTTCAATTTCTGCACAGTCGTAGTCACCCAAGCAGAAAACTTTCAGGACCATGTGCCTTTTTAGGCAAGCCTGCTTATGAAGGGATTTTTTGTTGCTGGCAAAGAAAATCAAAATGCTATGAAAACTCACTGTTCCTTGCTGGGTATTCCCTCAAAGGTATATTTTTACAAGGGCAGAAGAGGTGAAATCAGATATCATAACTCTACATAACTTCTTTTTAAAAAAGAAAACCTCTTTTTTTTTCTTTGGAAACAAGTTTTGGTTAAAAACCTTGCAGGAGGGCTGCATTTAGAGCTGAGAGGGAGCTCAGCAGCCAGCCTTTCCCTAGAAAACACAGCCATATCTCATTCCGTTTTCCCATACTATACACAGGTAGATGCTTTGTAGTACTTTTGAAATAGCCCTTTGTGATAACTTATGTATATTGAATTGCAAAACATAGTAACAACTTTCCTGACAACGGCATTGAAATGTAATAACAAGATCCTGTTACATAAAGCTAGGAGGAAATGGTTTTTATGTTTACAAGAGACAAATCTGGAACTTCTAAAGTCGGCAATTCTCAGAATTACACTGTTGATTTATAGCATAACACACCTTCTGCTCCCCCATATACACCACAAATCAAAGTGTTTAAGACTGCATTTCTTCATACTTAGAGTAAGTAGGGATACAGACATTAAAACAATTGTTACATACATAGAACACACAACAGTCTATAACATACAATTTATATCATGCTTATACAGGAACACTGTGAGCAGCCACGGACTGCACTGCTGCCTCCTGCTTGGCTGGAAACTGCAGCTGATTTTTCATGGATTCCACACTTTAGACTCTGAGTCCACCTCCTGATCTGTAGCTATCACATGCTTGTAAGTCCCTCAATAATTTTTGGGGGGTGGGAGGGAAACGCCCCCAAAAGGGGGGAATTAAACACCTACAGACTCAGCCTGTCCTACTGCATCTGTCCACTGACGCTAAAGATGTGCAGTATTGTTCTCTATTGTTTGAATACTCAGGACTTATTATTACTTTGAATTCTTCTTAAAAAACGGAAGAGAAAAAAGAATATATACATTGTTACTTTAAAATTTAAAAAGTTCAGCAATAGCTGCCACTGGAATTTGCAGCAAGCTGCATAGATTGACACAGATGTGCTGTGAGTGCTAGGAGAGAAGAGCAGAGTCTGAAGATTCCTGACAGGAGCTAAGTTAAATAAGGTCTTCAGCACATGAGCAACCAAATCAACTAAATGAAAGATATTTAATTTTTTTCCAGTTAAATACTCTGTGGATTCTGGAACAACAGAAAGGACAGACATACATGTATCATCTAATTATGAAAGTGAAATACTTCTGAAATGCTGCTCAAAATCCAAAATCAATCTGACACTTATTAAACTAGGATAATATTTTAAAAAATTTATTATTATAATTTGGATGCAAATTGTACTTGAAATAATCAGTGAGGCAAAATATTTGCTACTTTGGGAATAACAGAAGCATCTGTCTTGTTTGGGCTCCTCCTTACCTTTGAGGAGACAACATGATTTCCTGGATATTGGGAATATAATAGCAGCAAACTCCCCAAGTCAAATGACATCAGAAAAAAACAATGCTACACGTAACTTTCTGAGCCAACGAGAGCTGTGCATTTAGGTACAGGGCAGATAACACCGTGCTTTTTAAACTGCACCTTCCCATTGAAATAGAGGCTTATTATAGCCAATTTTTCACATCCACAGAGGTTTTTGCCTTCACAGCTGCTGCAAAAATCAAGGGCATCCAAGGGCTCAATCTCCAGGGTATAGCAACCAAACCCTGTCTGAGAGGACATACACTTCTATGGAAAAAAATATCCTTTAGACTAACCTTGAGTTAACTTTAACTGTGTGCAAATAGCAAAAATATCCCAGAACAGCTACTACACTTTCCAGCAGCAGGAACTGAACTCAGCAGTGACGTAAGTGTTAGCTGAATAAAGAACAAACACAAACAAGTATTAATGAGAATCCACGTAAAGTACCAATAAAATGACTTTCTCTTTGGATGTTCCCAGAGGAGTCAG